GATTGTGAAAAGACGAAGTTGAGTTGTATCATGTATAAGCATACCAACACAAATCTATAGTAAGCCTTCCAAAATGTTTGTCAGAGGGGAAAAAAACAGCATCCCGCAATGTTGCTGCTGCTGTTACACTGAAGAAAAATAGAAAAAAGGTTGTCCAATGGCAGGTGTACTTTGTCTGTGCAGTAGTCTTGTGTCCCAGCACCAGTATTCAACAAAATTATGTATTGTCATTATTGTTGGCTAATTAATGATAAATTTATGCATAAACAACACAATTCACGACAAACAATTGTTATTATTTTCATAAAAATAATAACTAACATGTTACCAATTTTATCAGGAATTTGAGTACATTAAGCAGCTGTTGATTTTCATATTTTTTTTTGTCCAAATTACTGTGGAATGACCCAGTACCAAAATGAATACTCCTACGGTGTGTCCTCGAAAAACTCCAGACCTCCGAACCTCAGACCCATCAGACCCCCGACAAAACTCAGACTCAACCCGGGTGTTATCGAAAACTCAGGGACCCCTCGAAAAAACTCAGACCCAAGGGTGGTATCGAAAAACTCAGACACCTCCGAAAAACTCAGACCCCGGGTGTATTCGAAAACTCAGACCGTCCGAAAACTCACGAACCCCCGGCGGTGTATTCGAAAACTCAGATACCCCTCGAAAATTAACTAATTGATGACAAATTAATTATGGACAGGGTCTACTGACGTGCTTATACTCTAGCGATAATCAGATATTTACTATCGATTCGCGGAAAGAGCTTATCATTGTATGTATTGCCTGTGACGCTACACTGCGGTGCCACTGCTCGAGAATCGTGTCACTATGACCTCTTCTTTGCCACGAGCGTATTAGGGGAGGTAGGGGGGTCGCGCGGGGGAGGACTCCCGCAAAAATCTGGAGGAACGGTGGGGGGGGGGGGTTGTGCGGCACGTTTCTTGAAACCCAATACCCTATTTCAGATCAAAATATGTGATTTTCCCTACACTATTTCAGACCTGACCCTTAAAATTTCCGGGGAAAATATCCCCCTTTTAAAGCAAAAATGGCAAAAATCTATACCCTATTTCAGACCAGTAGGCAAAACACCATATTGAAGCCCAAAATGGTCAAAATCTATACCCGTTTTCAGGCCCAAAACGGCTGAAAATCAAACTCTTTGGCCCGGCACATATCATGCATAGCATGTTGATGTGGGATGGTCGCAAGCGGCCGAGAACGTCTGAAGGAATTTCAATGAAGGATGAATGGAAATAAGGAAAGCGCGATTTAATGCAACTTCGCTTGACACAGTAGTACTTTGTAGTGTGCTGTGTTGAGGGGAGCTTGCGCCTTGGGTCACTAGGACAAGGGTACATCAATTTTTTCCTGATGAGACACAATCATGTCGAAAGGAACGATTTGTCGCCTCCGCGGGAATTCCACTCTGCAATGCCTGCAATCTTTTGCGTTTGGTTGGTCGTCCAGGAAACCAACTACTAAAGGTAGGTTGTTGTGGTGTATCTCCGTGAATGGATGTTTCTGGACAGCAATACTTCGGCTTGGCCTCCATAGCATTTTTATGGGCTCCACCTTTTTACCTTGTGCGTCTTTTAGCTGGCTCAACAAGGACCACTTTTGGATGGAAGCGAGCACCGTGGTGACTTGGCAAATAGTCCAAGTGTTCTTTTAAAATTCCCTCAATTTCAGAAACACACAGACTGTGTTTGCAAATGCTGTTATACCTGTAACAGGGACAAGTACAACTGGAGTGATCCCGATAAACGATGCACTCGTACATTCCTTTCTTGCATGTCTTGGCAGCAACGAGATATTTCTTCCGCTTCTCAGCTCCAACTACGATGGTGCTACATTTGGTCAGTGTTTCATTTCGCAACCGGGGAGACTAATCTCTCAACGATTTTGGCGAGTGCGTTTTCGGGGGTCTGAGTTTTCGATACACCCGGGGGTCTGAGTTTTTCGGAAGGTCTGAGTTTTCGATACACCCGGGGGTCTGAGTTTTTTTCGAGGGTCTGAGTTTTCGATACACCCGGGGGTCTGAGTTTTTCGGGGGTCTGAGGTCTGAGTTTTCGAGGTCTGAGTTTTCGAGACACCCATACTCCTACAGTAGTCTGTCACTTCATGCTATGGAAACCAGAGTCTGAGTGCAGAGTTAAGGACCAACAGTTATGTCGCCACTAGGTTTAAAAAAATTGTCAAGACTGTACATGTACAAACCTACCTTTTACCTAAAAAAAAAAAAAAAAACAAAGTTGCAAAACTGGTTCTAAAAATGACTCTCTATATTATGAACAGTCATGAATACAATTTTTCACACACTCACCTCCCTGCACTGTCCTGCGCATCAAGATTGGCTCCATTTTCCTGGAGCAGAATAGCTATTCTTGCCATACCCTCTGATGATGTCATTACAGGTGCATTGCTTGCTCCAAGGGAAACAGAATTAGCTGACCAAGGCCTGCAGAGTTTAATAATTTGATGTATAAATGGTGTATCAGTTAAAAAAAGCCCTAACAACTAGTGTGTGACCATTCAAATGAAAGCTATTGAGCAGTACTTTCATGAGGTACAGTTTATTATGCTGTACAAGGTGGTTCTAACTTTTAAGTCTGTGGATGAAACCCTAGTGGTGTGACCATGTCACATGAAAGCTATTGAGCAGTACTTTCATTGAGGTACTGTTTATAAATTTATGTTGTACAAGGTGGTTCTAACTTTTAAGTCTGTGGATGAAACTCTTAGTGTGTGACCATTCAAATGAAAGCTATTGAGCAGTACTTTCATGTGCCAGAGCTGATTTTTTTTTTAAATCAATATTTTACTATGTTTTACACATTTTGATGTTTTTTTCTCACTTGTAAGAAGCAGCCAGATGTATTGGTGTCACATGTTCACTGTGTGTCCGCAGCACTGCCTCTTGCTCCATTCTTGATCAGAAATGTTGCAGAAAATTCATCTCCTTGCGTGATGGCCTTTGTGTAACAAGCATTTGCCATCAAAATCAGCCATGTTGACATACACAGCCGTGACGCCGACCAGCGTCTTTGCAATGCTCTCTTGTTTTCTGTGAGTGAGGATGTGTAGAGGGACCTGACCACTGGGAAGGCTCCAGCTCGTTAAGCTTACCGGGTAACTACAAAAAAACATTGTGAGAATTATATAAACCATCATTATAATGATAAACATAAAAATAATACATTATAAGATAATTTGAAAAATAAAATATTTATCACACCACCGTACAGCGCTACTCATGAAAATATAAGAAACTTCCATGTACTCTCAGCTACTCTCATGCACTCTCATCGCATTTGAACCTGTCCAAAATTTTTCTTGAGAGTCATCACATGACTCAGGGGTGGATTCAGTGGGTGTGGGGGGGAAGGGGCTGGATTTTCCACAATGCCCCTCCTGAATCTTCCTCCCCAAAAATAAAAAGCCAGTTACATATTAGAAATTAAATAGAAGCACACTCACTAGGCAAGTGTCAAAATTGTTGATTTTAGCTAAAGTAACGATAACAATATTTGCTAACAGCAGCCACCCTTGTTCAAAAAATTTCTGGATCTTTGCCCCTGATGACTCTCGCTCTTCGTTTGGCCCAACAGTGATGATAGTTGACAAGAGTTGAAGAAAACTCTCATCCTCACCTTGGCCCGTGCTTTGCAAGTTTATGTTGTTACCTGTGAATTGAACTCTATCAGAACAGAAAAACTACATCTTCTCTGTGATGCCTGACTGCAAGGTGAAGTGGGAAGCCGGACTTTGATTTGAACATTTCATACAGTAACGGTGCACTCATTACTGCTAAAATCCTCTGTCTTCAAGTCATGCTGAAATTTAATAAAAATGTGACAAATATAGACACAGTCAACTTTGAAATTTAGTGAGATAAATCTACTGGGGGGGGGGGGGGGGGTGGGGGGGGGGGGGGGGGGGGTGGGGGGGGGTGGGGGGGGGGAGGGGGGGGTGGGGGGGGGGGGGGGGGGGGGGGGGTGGGGGTGGGGGTGTGGGGGGGGGGGGGGGGAGTGGGGAGGTTGGGGGGGGGAGGGGGGTGGGGGGGGGGGGGGGGGGGGGGCGGGGGGTAGGGGGGGGAGGGGGGGGGTGGGGGGGGGTGGGGGGGGGGGGAGGGGGGGGGGGGGGGTGTGGGGGGGGGGGGGGGGGGGGGGGGGGGGGGGGGGTGGGGGGGGGGGGGGGGGGGGGGGGGGGGGGGGGGGGGGGGGGGGGGGGGGGGGGGGGGGGCAAAAAAAAAAAAAAAAAAAAAGAAAATGCCACCAACTTACACCATAAAGTTATTAATGGGTGAACATAATTGTGTTGATGTCCAATAATGATGTCAATTGTTTGCGTCATGTGATACGCTGTGATGTTTCTATGGTAACTCATGTTTTGAAAAGGTGTTTTATTAGAAAAGTTTTGATGCGTTTTTTCCTTTTTCAGCTTAATTTTCGGTTTTAATGAACATTTCAGATTTTATACTCCCCCCCCCCCCCCCCCCCCCCCCCCCCCCCCCCCCCCCCCCCCCCCCCCCCCCCCCCCCCCCTCACAGCTAAAGAGCCTCCGGACACACATATTATGCAGAAAGTATCACAGTAAAGCGGGATTCAAACTGCTAGAGAAGACGAATATGCCAATACAAAAATATTATAACGGTTATCTTTAACATGTGATAAATATACCTACTCATTAACACCAACCCAGTGATTTGAAAGGATCCCAGTTTACCACTACCAATGATTTCTGCACAGTAGTTACTCTGGTCATAGTCCTTTGCGCCAAATATCTTCCTGCAGTCTGGTAAACACTTTGATACAGTGTCTTGAGACTACAGATACTGAAAGACATCAACCATCTTGCTCACGCCTGAAGAATGAAAAATCTCTTACGTTATCAGTAATAAATATAAATTTGAACAATCTTACTTACTGAGAAAATCTATTATTCAGTCAGTGACAACAAGGCTACTCGCAAAAAATAATTTCGAGTTCTCCCAACAGGAGCTCGAATCTATAAACCTTCCGCACACATCGTACAGATGCTCTACCACTGAGCTACAGGAGACTATTCACAAACTCGCGCTCTTGGAGAGGGTGCCAAACTTTTTAATGGAAAGTAACGTGTATGAAGCAGTAAACTGCAAATTTCCAGGGGGGGGGGTTGTTGGAGGGGTATATGATTCGGTTGCCATTTACTCCGCCAGAGACACTTCAGGTCCCTTTCACAATTTTTGTAAATGGTAACCATTCAATTTGGTAAATCGGATACCTTTAAATTTTGTAAATGGTGCCTTTAACATTTTTGTAAATGGGTGGCCTTAATTAAATTTTGTCTTTTGTAAATGGTGCCTTAATATTTTGTAAATGGTGCCTTTTAAATTTTTGTAAATGAATCATTGACCTCTTCATAATATTTGTAAATGGTGCCTTTAATTTTGCTAAAATGGTGCCTTTAATTTTGGTAAAATGGTGCCTTTTGAATTTTGTAAATGCGTGCCTTTTATAATTTGTAAATGGTGCCTTTAATTTTTTGCTTAAATGGTGCGTTATATTTTTATTGAAAAGAATGGTTGCTTGCCTCGATTTTCGTATAATGGGTGCCTTTCTGAAATTTTAGTAAATGACCATGCCTTTACTTTTTGTAATATCACAGCCTTTAAAAAATTTGTATAAATATATGATGATGGTTTGTCTCTGTTGTTTTATAAAGTAGCACCTTGACATCCCACTCTCATTAAATGCGTGCGGGTTTTTTTTAAAAATGGTGCCTCGATTTTCGATAAAATGGTAGCCCTTTTTTTTTTTGTCTTATTCAGAGGTTTGGGGGACAACTTTCAGGTGAGCATAACCGAGAAAGGACTTTTTGCTCGGCTGAAAATGATGAGGGAATAAGGTTGCTTAAATTTTCTCTTGAAAAGGGGCACGTTATAAGCTGTTGATGCTGCTAGAAGAGGTGTTGTGATGAGCTTGCAGAACCTTTCAATATTGTTTGTGAGCCTTTCAAGCTCTTGCTCTAGAAAGAATTTTCTAAAATACTAGCCGCCTGAGCAAGATCTATGACGCACCAACCTCTTGACTTTTTACAGCGTGGACAGCGTGGCGCGAAACGGGATAAACGGCATTCTCGTACCAGGGCCAACTGGGCCACATGCATCACACTTTCATCATAGCCGGAAGTTCTCACAATGTAGATTATAGGACCTTCCGGTTTTCGTGTATGTCATGTTCAAGTGACATACCTGAAACTACTAGTGTTGGCGAGTATAATGGTGACTCAAGAGAGGTCTTTTTTATTATATTTATATTGCACAGAGAAAACTATCCAAGAGAGGACCCATAATATAATAGCCGATAATTTAGCCATCTTTATTTCCTGCATGCTTTATATTTTTATTATTTAATGTTTTAAAATAAAACTATATTTTTTTACTAGGTTTTACAAATCCTTAACATTTTTCACCGTAAATTCTTAAGAGGTAGATTTTTTAAGAAATTGTATTCACATTTATTTTATTTACTAACTATTATTTGGTCTTTATATTGTGTTTTGATAGTAATTAATTATTTATAAGACTTGTATACATCAGACAGATTGTGGGTTTGTACTGGAGAAGCCCCAAATGGGCTTAATGTTTTACATATTAAAGGAGCTACCATAAAATCATAGGATGGCGCTAGTTTGTCCAGCGACGTTAATCCCGTCTTAATCTTTAATAATCAGTTGTATTGAACCAGTCCTTGTATATTTTTGGCTTATTATTAGTTATTCTTTGCGTATTTTTTTCTATTCTACCCTTAGAAAAGACAATTTATGGTTTGAGGTTTCCTTCAAATCTTGAAAGTAATGTTTGTTCTAACATCAGAAAAATGATCTTAAAATAGTCCTGACATACAATGTAAGCTCCTTTGAAAAGGGATCCTACGAGAACTTTGTCAGTTGCATCCATGTGTCAGTCCCCAAAAGCACAAAAAGCGCCGGGGGCGTTCCAATCAAGAGGCATCAATTGGTTGGAAACCAACAATCTCATTCAAATTAGTATATATGTCAACAGTTTTTGTACCAAGCTCAACTAATCGCAAGATGTCAACAGAAACAGGTCAAATTATGTTTCCATACTTCAAAAAAATTCAAAAAAAAATATAGCAATATTAATTATATGACTAAGTAAAGTCTTTATGTGATTTTAGTTTCTGCACTTTTTCTTATTGCCTGTGATCGTTCGCTACAAAAAAGCAACATGCAAATCAGTTTAGCAAAGTCCTTTACTAAAAGAGAACACTCTAACACACTTTCCCACCGGGGGTTGGCTGAGGCCACTCTATAAACCACTGTCTTCTACCATTCATTGAATTAGCTCATTTTTAAGGGCTGCGGTTTGATTTCAAAAACGGGCCATTTGTGACTGCACATTCATATGTTCCAATAACTGAACTGAGACCAGCACACCAATCAATACCATAGTCAAGAACGGTAAATGGTTGCGCTCAAAAAAAAAAAAAAACACAAAAACTGAGAATTTTCAAAAGCGGTCCTTGCACCCACAACTGTAGTGGAGTCATGTTGCGTTCTGTTGCCTCAGAGGATGTCTTAGTTCTTAATCTCTATGTTCAGGGCAGCTACCCACGGGCGTCCTGCTAACTTGTGATTTAAATGAGTTGTCAAAGGTGAAACAACAGTGTAGACACTTGCATAAATCAGTCTTCTCTCCACAGGCGCTCTCATCCCACGCTGGTTGTGAACGCTTCGGCCAACAAGTGCCGAACGCTCGATCAGGGTCCTTCTTCTCTTCAAGCATGTATCGTAACTAACACATCAACACATTCTCACATCTCCTCTATCATCCTACGAACACTGGAGGGTAGGCGTGTAGTAATTTGATGAGCCTTTGTTATGGTGGCCTGTGGACTCATAATGCGTGACATTGCACATTCCTCGAGTTAACTCACAGTGATTTGTACCACTACCCGGCTTTGATTTCTGAAGTAAACTTTAAGTATGTGTGTAGTGACAACCTACACAACCTCATGGCCCGGGTTGTTTCTTCATTTGCACACCGGTTTTATATTACATTGGGCTGACGGGTTTATTGTTACAGGTTAAGTCCCCATTGGTCCAGGTATATTTTGCAGGTTTGCAGGTTGAGACTACCGTTTTAGACAAAAACATCTACACACAAGGTTAGAGCAAGAGTAATGGCTGTCACGGTTAGCCCAGTTAGGTCCCTAAAATTAGCCCGCAAACTGAAGGGTGAGCCTAATTCTAAGACTGAAGGTTAGCCTTAGTATGGTTTAGCCTAATTGTTGGTTGGTTTGGGGTTTGAGGTCAGTTTGACTTGCAAACCGGTGCAAAAAAATCCTTGCCGAGTCCCCATTG